TTGGTACTACAAGTCTCACAGACAGGTCGGTCCCAACCGGGACTTGATTTCGAAGTTGAGCTTTCTGACTGGAAATCATTTGTAAATTTTAACTAGAATATGGCAGAAGTGATGTGATGTCACTTTCAAATTCAGTTATATATCACATCTCTGATTAGATCTCTCTCACCTCTCTTTCTCTCTCTGTCTCTCTGTCTCTCTCTCTCTCACACACACACACACACACACACACACACACACGGCGAACCCAGCTGCCATGCTTTGATGCAGCCCTGCAAGTCTCATGGAGCAGAGGACTGTGAACTATTAATAATCACATGAGGAAGCATGGTAGAAGAGTCCCAATTAAGCATTTAGACCAGGCTCCAAACTCATCTGGCAGCTGTACTAAAACTTCTTGAGAAATTTAAACCAAATATGCCCTGGTAGTAGACTCCTGGGTACTTCTACCCTATGATGTGATAAATTCTTAGTGCTCTATTCATTTTTTTTGGTTACTGTGTTATCCAACAATAGACAACTAAAACACAATCCTCACCAAGTAACAAAATGAGTATCATTAGTAATAAATTAAAGCAAAATCATGTTCTACCTGATAGTTTAACAATGAGAAAAAATACTGTATAGTATTGCTTCTGTCATATTTTAACAAAAATATATACCCTTAACTCATCCATTAGAAAATCACATGAACTCAGAATGAAGAATATGGTAAAAAAAAAAAAAACTAGCTAGAAAATTTCAAAAGCATTATGATGATGGAAAGCAGGAAAATCTAAGGAACTGTTCCATACTGAAGGAAACTGAAGATGCTCAAAATACAATTGTGTGCTTTTGAACTTGAAGCTTTTGTTATAAGACCTTATGGAAATACTCAATGAAGCTCGAATACAGTATCAGGATTAAAATATAAATTCCTATGTTTAAAGATGGTGTTTGACTTACATTAGAAGAATATCATAATGTGCAGAAAACAGTCACCTCTTGAGCCCCTGACAAACACTGCAAATGAGACAGGGCCAGAAACTAATTGTATTTTACCTGTTCCTCTGTATTCCTTGAAATTCTATCTTTTGTTATGGTTGACTTGTGGGATAAGGAGATGTATGTGTTTTTATTGTTCCTTGGGTTTTTTACCTAAGGGGCTTCTGAAAAAATAAGGAAATGTTGATATCTGTATATGTTTCTAAATTATAGCAATGATATAATAAATTAATGTTAAATATGGTCCAAATCTTCAATATGTCCTTACTGGAGAAGTATTATTTCAGTACAACCATGTAGAAAATGTCTTCTACTTAATACCCTCTGAAAGAGTCCCACCAAAAACTTCATATTAGCGTTTCTCTCCAAATTTCCCATAAAACAAGACAGAACTGGGAGAAAAAATACAAAAAACAAGGAAGTAGTTGCTTACTGCTCTTATTAAGTCAGTAGCCTAATTTTCTTTAGGTGGATCTTTATTTAAACTTCTAATAAACGTTTTTTGTAAGATGGTGGATAAGAGATAGTTTTTCCTCAGATTTTATTTTAATCACGGACCACCCATCTTCAAATTATATGATGTAATATAACATAGCATGGTATAATCCAATATGAAATGAATTCCAAACTTAGCAAGATCATCCGAGATTGAAAGCTAAATTTAAATTTTCTAAAGAAATAGTGCTTGTGATGAATTTTTTTTCTAAAGAGTCTGGAAGCATTTTTACTTTCTTATAGATAGGAGTTATTAAATTTTCTTATAAGATTCAAACAGAAAATAATCATGCACACATTTGTGTAATTGTTAAATAAAATAAGAAAAACAAATATCTAGTTAGATTATCTCACATGTTACTACTGGTTAGCAAATGATACTCTTATTACAAAAATCATGGCTCACGATTGATTGTTGACAACTACTTAAACATTTCATGGAGACATGGTTATCAATCATCCAATCAGTGGCCTTAAAAATGACTTAACTGAGGCAGAGGAAGATAATATAAGTGTGAACATGGATTTAAACTATTGAAAGCTGTCAGGACTCCAGGAAAAGTAACTTAAGCAGCATACTCTGATGCATAATCATCAGATATTAAAGAGGGAACATTACTGTATTTCATTGTAACTATAGTGATCTTAAAGAATTAAGACCACATCCATAAAGTCCAAATTTGTCTCCATGGAGTAGATTTGAGTTGAGGAATATCTAGATCACTAAGTAATTTCCTTAGGTCAAAGTAAAAGCATTTTATCTCGGAATATTACTTCCATGGCATGCTGGATGTAGCAGCAGTTAGTAACAGTGACCTTTCTTTTAAACAATTCATAGATTCACTAGAATTTTCTTCATCTTAGGGAATTCAATACATTGCATTGTTATATATCTTAAATATTTATTTTCCTCTGAAGTCTCAACTCACTCTGCTTGCTATCATTATTTTTTCTGCACTTATTTCAAGTTCCTTGAAACTTGCACTTTATTTAATTTTCATTGCAAGATTATGTGAACATAATATTTCAGGAGCATAATTCGTAATTCCTAAATTGACACTTGAATAAGATACTTAATTTTAGTATTAGTTCATCTTCTGTTTTATATATTAAAATAAATTCACTATATGTATTTTTAAATGGTTGGTTCTTCCTTTTCATTGAAAATTGGCAAAAGTAAAGTAATTCAGAGAGACTATCTCAAACAGAGATACCTACCACCAAAAATGAATGTATTTCTCTAATAGCTGTGTTGTCAACATAACAGGCAAAGCCTCCTTAGGTCTTAAGGAAAAACTATTTTAATATTTCAAGAAAATGATACAAAGCAATGGAGAAAAAGATTTAGTGAAAAATCATAGTCTTTTCTTAGATTAGAACATCGACCGATTTCATGTAGTAAGATGGATGTATTTGCAAATGCAATTAAAGTCCTGGAGAAATGGTAAATATAACCTGTGGATGCACTGCAGTTGTTGGTAACTCTACGGTGGTAAGGAAAAAGCAGCAACAACTGATGCCACAAATCTAAGTAGCTCTCTAGTGCCTTATGTTTTATATATATATATATATATATATATATATATATGAATATGCGTGTGAGTAAAGGCAAAAATAACGTAGAGTAGATATTTTACTTTTAACATTTAATTCATAACAAATATTTCTAACCCTTTGTATTCATTTGAGAAAAGCACATTATGCAAATACACTATGAGAATACCTAGGCTAACTCATAGCGTGTTATATGGTTTCAGATTCAGAAGAAAATACTTCTTTGTTATGAAAAAAATATTTAAAAGAGAGCCACATTGAAAACTGATTTAAATATTTATTACAGTCTCTTGAAAAACCAATGAGAACTGCAAGCCATGGCACATAACAACACATTTTAAAGAACTATCTTCTAGCAGGACAATAAATCGTGTTCCACCCAAGGACTGCGAAAGCTGGAACCATATTGTTTTTCACTTACCCACCTTTATCTTGATGCTCCAGGTTAATTTCTTTCTTCAAGCACTACCTGCAAACTTTTTATGTAAGGGGTCTAGATCTGCAACCATACCTTTATCCAAACTAAGACAATACGAATCCTAATTGTTAATCAAACAAGTCAGAATTCTTAATACACACTGTAGAGAAGTATGTGTGTTTGCTTTAGGGATATTGTGTTAGATGTAAAGAGTTACTCAGGTTCCTAAGTTGATGTTGAAATTTCTAATTTACACCTAGTAGTCACTAGGTTAAATTGCATGCTAACTATCATTGTCTACTTAAATGTATTTTCCTCAAAGTGTATGCCTTTTACGTTCTTACCCTTTTAAAATCAAAGCAGGATTTAAAAATACCTTCCCCAGTTTTCTGGAATTACTATCTAATAAGACATACTTCCTCCCAATAGTAATTCTAAATTTCTAGCAATCACTGCATTAAACAGGCAACTCAAAATGGATCAGAAAATGAGTATGAGATTTGCGGCACTAAGTATACACATTAAAGTTTGAAATCCAAGTCCTCTACTTTCAGTTTATTTCTTAGGTCAATGAATGAAAATGGTCTTTGAGTGCCTGATAAGGTCACACACACAATTTCAATGTGTTTGTAGTAAATCCAAGTGACAACTTCTACAGCCACTAACCTGTTTCTCTTCTCAAGATAGTGTGTGAAAACTTCTTTGCCTGTCCTGGATAGTTGTAAGGGGAGTGGAAGCTCTCTGAGAAATGTCAGATTTAGGAAATATTAGCAGTGTTTCACACAGAAGTTTGAAATTTTAACCTGTGTGTGAATATTCATAAATAGAAGTTATTTTGAAATACAACAGGAGATAGAAAATAGTGACTAAGGAATAATAATTATATTCTAAAATTGCTATTAAAGTTAGAATACTTAACTTACTGAATTTTATAGTATATATGAAAGGACATGCTAAATTTAAGATTATTCAAATATGAACTTATAGAAAATATAAATTATTAAGAATGAGATCACTATAGTCTAACTGAAAATTTTTTTCCAACAATGACTTCAGAATAGTGTTTGCTTTGTGGTTTGATGGCATAACTACTAAGAAATACTTGTATGCACAAAGATAACAGGCTTAACCTTCTGGAATATCTATTGGTATTTACAAAGATGCAGAACAATGCTGTCTAGAGCACTTCTAGGTCAGATATTTGGATATTTCACTTTGAGCTCAGTTTTCCTACATAGTATTTATTTGATTATATGTGGCAATGCTCTCCCACACTGTGTAGGCTTTAGTACTGTAGCAGCTATTTCAATGAAAACAAATTTTATACTTAGACCATAAATGGAATCTATGAGTTCGGATGGGTTCAGATAAATTAAGTTTGGAAAATACTAGAGAATTATATATATATATGAGAAAATGAATAAAAAATATTTTTCACATTTTAAGAATACTCTTTTTGGCTACAGATAAGATATTTACATTAGTGTGAAAATGCTAAATGTTGAAGAATTCTCATAGCACCTGACGGAATTTTGATTTGCCTACTCACCCACAGGAGACATCTCTGGAACACTCGCAACATAAGGCCCATCCAAAAACTTTGGCTCATTATCATTAATATCCTGCACTTTGATGATAAATTCTGATTCAGGTTCCAAGGGCTTCTTGGTTTCTATGTCCACAGCCTGAGCCCGAAGGGTGTAGAAAGGTTTCTCTTCTCTGTCTAGGCTCCTTATCGCATGAATGTCCCCTGTGGTTTCATCAATGGTAAAAACTGTGCCGGCACCATCTCCTGAGAGGGTGTATTTAACAGTACCCTCTCCCTTGTCCAAGTCAGAATGAAGCTGAGAGAGAGAGAGAGATTGAGGAAGAGAGGGAAAGAGAGAGCATATTTAGGAATGTGGCCATCTTAAAATTCATATATGTATTGCACTATAATTCCTTTAATCAAAAAGTTTATAGGAAAAATCTACCATGTTTTCTTTTTTTCTGCAAAGTTATTTGTTCGGTACTAAGGATCAAACTCAGGGCCATGCTCTTGCAAGGCAGGCAAGGTGCCACTGAGCTAAATCCCTAGCCCTGCGAGATTTTGATTATAAACATTTTAATCCCCCAGAAAATTTGAAAAAATTGTTTATTCAATAGTACATATAAAATCTCCATCCTAGATATTTTACCATTCACCTTTCCTTTGAGTTGCCTTTTCACATAGCTAGATCACGTATCGATCCTTTTCTCACTTGAGCCTATTTCTTTAACATTATGGAAATCTGAAGAGAAGTACATTCCCGAATACATCACAACAGGGCCTACAATCAATTTTCAACATTGTTCTTTAGTTCCTTCATACCTCTTTAGTGATAACATTTCCACAGAATTGAATGCAAAAATAAGTATAAGTATTTGTTTCATTTTAAAAGCTTATTGTTTAAAAATGAATTAGCTCATAAATACCAAATCATAAGGCCTCCAAATGACCTGCAGATAGAAATCAATGAGCTGAACACAACAAGAGATAAGGAGAAGGAAATAAAATAAGAAAACACTGATTTCTTTTTCACTTGAATAAAGATCATTCAGTTATATATGGTAGAATACAGTGGTGCCTTGGGTCATGAACTTAATTCATCCACAGTTCTGGGGAAGATGCCTGCATGGTCTTCCTCACCCAGTACAGACTTCTCACCCAGTTGTTTGTGCACAGAAGCATTTGTGAAAGGAGGCATTACTGTATCTCATTTTAACTGACTTTGAATGGACTACCTTATATTAATCTAATTATTGGTAGAATCAGTGATTATCTTTTCAAATTCACAAATGATTTTGAGTTCATTCTGTATGTAGAATATTTGTTCTAATATATAAAATGTGTATTTATTTAATTTCTCTTGAAATTCCACACGTCTATAGCTCACTATATTATAGCATATGGAGTAAAATAAACAAGAATAACACTGAGGTAGAGATCCAAAGAGAAGAGAAATTATCGTTGTAATATTATAAGTTAGTTTTGCTTAAAGAAGGGAAAAAAATAAAATAAATGAAAGACAAACTTAGTCTTAGAGAACTACAAATTATCAGAGTAAAGTGATATATACATGAAATATCACTTAATAGAATATTACATTATAAGTAATTTTATGATAATACAGATTCTTATATGTAATATGAAAATGCTTATGATTATACATAAAATTATACACTTTTACAAAGAATAGATTACACATTTCTGTTCATTCAAATGCTCATCTAAAATAGTTTAATGTATTTTTATTCATTGTGGTACAGTTTTCTGATATCATTCTCCAAGATTTTGTGTGAAAAGTTCATTCCAGTGAACAGATAACTCAAAAGAGAAATTTTAACCTTTTAGAATGTGCATACTCTTGGCTGTGCTTTAAATTTTGCATTTAAGCACTGTCGTCTCAAGAACTTTGGTTACAAATGAGTTACACTTGTTAATCTTTCAACTCAAAATATTCTTCTGAAAATGTTTTAAATTACATAAACATTCCTGTGCAGATAAGTTATCAGTGCATTAGTATTAGTAATATCAAAAGAGAAATACATATTAAATATAACCATAACTATGTCTCTATTATTGCTTTTAAACTCAACATTGTGGTTCAGATTCGGTAAAATAAGTCCTTCAAGTAAATGTAATTAAGTTAAATTTATTCTTTCTGCCTGTTTATATTTATATCAAAATTTTCATTGAAATTATACTCATATAAGCAGAAGGGTTTGTACATGATTAAGAGACATAATTTTAAAAAACAAGACAATAATAAGAAGCCATATGATTTTGGTTTTCCTTTAAAAGTTTCTATACATTTTTGTTAAGTATAAGGAAAATTCCTAGGAATGATAGAAAGAAGGTTTTTCCTCCTAACATTTTATAAAGTGCTGTGACGTATAGGAAATTTCAAGCATAAAATCCAGCTACAGATAAATGTTCTTTGAACTTCGGAATTTCAAGCTACAAATTTAAACCATACTATTAAAGATATTCAATACAGTGAGTGTTACTTTTGGTATCAAATTTATCTGAAAATATAAGTCATGCAAAAGCTCAGTGTAGTGAGAATGACTTTATAAACTGGATCCATTTTGCCAGTGGCTCAAGAAATACGCTGATATTTTGGAAACTGAGGGAAAATTCTAAGTGGGTTTTCACAATGTGATTTAACTCGAGTTACAAAAATTTCCTCATTTAGCCAAAATCAAAACCGTTTTCTCTTCAAACTGACAGAGAATAAAAAATAATATGTGTTTTCAGGCCTATGCAAACTCCAAATTATATTCAGTTGCTGCTACTCCTCTATCTACCTTTCCCTTCTGATTAACAAATGTGTTTTGCACAGATTAAAGCTTCGGAAGAAATATATAAAAATATGTGACAAGTTTGAGCTGGAAATAAAGTTGATGACTGCAAACTCTTGAACTTTTCAGGCTTTTAATAGAGGTTACCACATGATAATACCTTAAAGGAGATCACAGGCAACTTGCTCTGACTTTTATATATTTAAAATTAATCCTACAGTGCTGATTTGTTCAAGTACATGACTGACTATTATAGCGTACAGTTGTTCTTCCAGGTTGTATTCTGATATGAAGGATATGGTAATGCCCTGGTGTTGGATTTTATAAAATATTCTTTGGTGAAAATTAAAAGAATTTGAAAAAAAATGTTATAGATAAGATGAAAATTTCTGTCATGCCTTCACTTACAAAGATTTTATTTTGTTATGTATGTATTTCAGTTACATAGTTATGTACATATATAACTAAAAGAGCAAAAACCCTATATAAATACATATTGACCAGACACATAATTATAGATATATTTCTCTGATTATATATATTTGATCCCAAAGTGAAATTTTATTTTCAAATAAAAAAATACCATAATTTGCTGCCTTTACTTCTTTGTCTGAGAAATGTCTGTTCATTTCAGATGCTCTTTTTTGAACTGTGTCTTTGAATTTGGGGGGTCTGATTTTTTTCAGTTCTTCATATATTCTAGATAGTAGTGCTTTGTCTGAGGTACAGCTGCTAAAATTTTTTTCCCATATAGTAGGTTGTCTGTTAGCTCTGTTGGTGGCTTCCTTTGCAGTGCAGAAGCTTTTTAATAAGATGAGATCCCAGTTGTTGATTCTTTCTGCTAGTTCTGTACTGCTGAGGTTTTGTTCAAAGAAGTAAAAGCAGCAAACAAATATCTGAAAAAATATTCAACATCACTGGTCATTTGAGAGATGCAGATGAAAACAACACTGAGATTCCACCTCACCCCAGAAAAAATGGCTGCTATCAAGAAATCAACAAATAACAAATGCTGGTGGGGTTGTGGGGAGAAAGGACCCTTCTCCATTGTTAGTGGAAGTGCAGACTGGTGCAACCACTGTGGAAATCAGTATGGAGATACCATAAAGAACTAGGCCTGGAGGTCCCATTTGACCCAGCTATTCCCCTGCTGGGCATCTTCCCAAAAGAATTAAAAGAATCATACCACAGTGATATATGTGCACCCATGTTCACAGTGGCACAGTTTGTAATAGCTAAAGCTTGGAAGCAGCCCAAGTGCCCATTAACTGGAAACTGGATAAAGAAAATGTAGGGTTTTCATAAAATGGAGTACTACTCAGTCATAAAGAATGACAAACTAGAGTCATTTATAGCTAAATGGATGCATATCGAGGCCATACACTTAAGTGAAATAAATAGGATACACATGTGTAAATACCGAATAATTTCTCTAGTGTGAAAAACTAAAAGTGTGAACAAGGGTTAAAATGATTAAAATGAATAACTGATAATTTGAAACAGGAAAAAATGTCCAAAGACGAAGGAGTGAAATGAGGGGAAGGGGAAAAGAAAAGAGGGAAAGGAAAAACTATGAGAAAAGAAAAAAAAAATGGAAATGAAATCTATGCAAATAGGGTAGGGCAGAGGGGGTGAGAGGTACACAGGTAATGGGGAAAAAAGAAATAAGAACTAAGATACATCATGTACAGGTACAAACACCCAATGATAAATGTAAACGAATTGTATACCTAAAATGTACCAATAAAAGAACTAAAAAAAAAAATGAGCATGCAAATATTCCTATTGTACATTGGATTTACTTCTTTAGGTGCATGCCAAGGCTTGGTATAGCTGTATCATATGGTGGTTCTATAAATAAATAAGTAAATAAATAAATAAACAAAAAATAGCATAATTATTTTCTAATATCACTTGAATGCTTCAAATTTGTTTTTTTTAAGTGTATGTATTGTATTTATTCATTCAATAAGGTTGAGTGACTGAATGGGATTTTATATTGTTGGATCGTTTATAAAAATACAGTGACTCTGTGTATGTTTATATGCTTTTTTCCTGCTAATTTACTTCAACATGCAACTGTAAAGACCAAAATATGTTAATTTTTATGAATCTTGAAAAATTCTGAAAATTGAATGATTTCAGAAATTGATAAGTAGAGGTAAAATCACTTTGGCAATATTCTGCAATGGAATTTAGGCTTAGCTCACTTTGTCTCATTTGTTTAAAGAAAGAAGCAATGCTATTGAAAGAGAATTCACAAGGTTTGCCTCATCTTTGGGTGGTATGAACTCCAGAAATAATTCACAGAACATAATTTTACAGAATCACTGTAAGCTACACAGGCAGCAAGTTAATAATTCTACAAAAAGTTTTGTTTTCCTTGAAAAATGTAAAAATAACATCTAGAAAAGTGTCTTATTCCAAGTATTAAAAATAAGCTGTTTTCTGAGTAGGTGCTGACTACATTTACTGACTGAAGCAGCCATGTCCAATAATACCACCTCTCAGTATTGACACT